AATCATGATGCAAATTTTTCTCATCCTGAAATTCAGCAAAAACTTCTTCCCGATTGAGCAAATGTGCTGGTATCTTGCAGTGCAGGCTCTCTCCCGAGGAAACATGTAAACAGGAAGGAAGCTGGTTTGTATTCAATTTAATTTCCCCAGGATTATATATCTTAAAGAGAACAAGTGCACACACACACAAAAAAAACCCAAAACAAAACAAAACAAAAAAACCAGATGCAGACAGAAGGCTAAATTCTGTTCTCATTAATGAAGGGGCAATGTACAGTAATCCTGCTGGTACCAGGGTTGTGCTAGAGTGAAAGGAAGACTGCTGGAGACTGACCTGACACAGCAAATCAAACAAGAGTGTTCTGAAGAGGAAAACCTGCTTCCCACCTGGTCCTCTAACCTTTTTCTCTTCCAGCCTTTTCCCAAGCCAAATTCTGCTCCAGATTGCTTTATAAAGTCTAGGCAGCATGAGTCCAAACTGGCTACAGCCTGAAAGTGGAACTACTTCCTCTTTCCTCTCTGCAGCCCTGTCAAATAAGGGCTTGATTTTATTAGAACACAGATTAATAAACGGCAGAAAGCTCCAGTTTCCTGGGAGAAATGTCAGAGGGGGGAAAAGGCTTCCACTGAAATCTCTCTCTGCCCATAGCTTCCACTCAGTCTGTGCCTTTCCCTCTGCGTTCTCATTTCAGTCCTGTGACTTCTAGATGCTTCCAGGGCTGAACAAGCTCCTCATCTTCCTCCCCAACGCCACCACCATGGAAGCTCAACCCTGAATCTATTTTCCACAATCACAGGGCACCCTGTAGCCCAGAGGAGCCTCTCAGCCCATACCCTGCCCAGCAGCTCCTCATTAGCTCCAGGACCAAAGTTGATATTGACGGTTTGCATTCACACTTCTGTACCTGAGAACAGAATCTGCCCCATGAAGAGTTTGAAAATGATGTTCCACAGGACCTCTGTCTCTGACCATTTCTCTTTTCCTCATAATTCCATTCTACTGTGTATTTTTCACAGCAGACATTGCAGAACCACCTACTATGACACCTGTGAGTGCTGAGCAGGGGGGTACATTTCAGCAGTCTGTCCCTTCGCCCACCATGATGGATGCAGAATGACATCAAGGGGCCATACAGTAACAGCACTGGCACACCACAGGTACAGACGGGATCTAATCCACTGGCGAAAGCAGCTACCACCCACCACTTCTATCCAGTGCTTTCCATTAGTTTTGTTCCATTTGGTGGCTTGCTCACACATCAGGAAGCTCAAAGAGTTGTGGTTTTATCTGCTCAGTGAGCAGATAAAAGCTCTGAAGCTTTCACAGCTGCTCCTGTAGATGTCCAGAGGAGCTCCACTAAGACATAGCACCCCGTGCTCCAGCCTCCTACCCACACACCCCTGTGCTATATTTTCTCCAGATGTCCTCAGTCTGTGCCCTTCCACACTTCCCTCACAGGCAGACTAGGTTATCTCAATGTCAAGAAGCATTTCTCAAAATACAGCTGCTACCTCTGCCCCTTTTTGGCTTTGAAGACTTATCATGGGACCAATTGGTTGCACTCCTTTATAAAGGCATTTCCAGTATCTTAAAAATTAAATGATTGCCAGCAAATTTACCAGTACTTTACTCAGTACTTTGTGATGCATAGATGGATTACGACCCATAGAAAGATGTGATGCCTAAACTGGGATACAGGGAAGTTTAAAGACTCTAAAAAAACCACCAACAACCAGACCTATAAAAGAAGCCAGTCCCTTTCTGGACTGTGAACCAATCTTAAGATTTCTGTAGGTCCAGGACATCTCTCTGACCTGGAATTTCTGTAATTTATCTATTTGGTTTGCAGCTGCTGGGTTATGCCCCAAACTACCTGGACAGCTCAACTCCTCGCTCCCTGGGCTCATTTTTCCAACTCACCCTCACATGGCATCAACTCCTCCTCGGACACCCAGTTCTTGGCTTTCAATCTCAGCTTGGGGAAGAGAATCTTAAAACTTTGGCTGCTAAACAGAAGGGGAGTGAGAATTTTGGGACTGACCTCAATCATGATAAATGTTCATGCCCTCCCTGCAGTATTTTATCATTTGTTTTTTAGGCACAGCTAATTTCATTGGCTCTTCCTTCATTCTTACTCTGCTGTTTTGTATCTTTCTAATCATTAAGTAATGGATTTTCTTTTTATTTATTATATGTAAAACATATTTCTTATTCCCCATGAGTGCTTTGAACAGCACTGATTCATTTCCAGTGTTCTCAAGACATCTCTCCTTGTCTGCAGACACTTTTTAGCTGCCAGGATTCCTCCACAGCTTTCCTTTCCTATCAGGTTCAGAGAGGGAGGATTTGAAACAAACATCCCAGTTTCTAAGTTCCCCCTATAATGCAACATGACCCAGAATGTTATTTTCCCCTTTCCCACCGATGCTATGCTGTTTATACACCACATTTATATTGAGTCTAATTTTTGATTACATCTTCCGTAAATACTTAGCCCAAATCTGAACAGCAACATTTTTACCAGGTGGGAATTGAATGTCAATTTTTGACAGTAATGTGTAAAACCTTCAGGGGCTATCTTTCTTCCAAATCTTAATAAATCCACAGGAAAGTATCAAGTAGGGCACAGAGGAAATGTCTTATCAGGTCTGGAGCCTCTGGGAACATCACATCAAATCCAGCTGTACCATCCTCACCAGCGACCAGCATTAATTTACCTAATGACAGCTCTGAGCCCTTTGAGAAATCACTTAATGGCCTCTGTTTCAGTTTCTCTTAACACATCTCCAGTCCAGTGGACGCTCTAAATGATAACTTTAACAGAGAGGTCCTCATTCAGCAAAACTCTTAAACGCACGTGCAATTTTCAGCATGGCACTGCCATTGAAACCCATGGCAAAAGCTACATTTTTGCCTGTTGTACTAGACTAGGACTGGCCAAACTCTTGCTCTTTATCTTCCTCCCAGCAGGAA